TAAATACAAACTGTTTTTTAAAGTGGGGGTAGGTAGTATTACATGTTTTTTGGGTTTTCTCCAATGAGCCAATTGTAGCTAAACTTTTCACTGCCACTTCCTCAAATGTCAGTGCTTGAAACTTGATGTGTTTTATTTATAAATGTACCTTATAATAGAATTTGACAGCAATGACAGGTAAGGCAGTTAAGGTTTCATCAGCCATTCTTGAGATGGTCTGGGCACTAACTGTCAATCCATGTATCCATGCTCAAAGATCCCATGGAGATGAATCAATCCAATTAAGTGTGACATTTTTTTGGAACAGATTTATGTGGGGTGGTGGGGAGCTTGGTTGTAAGTCACTTTGGGTTGTCCTGGGCAAGACAAAGCAACTAACAAATTTAATAAATAAAATAAATAAAAAAGCTCAGAAGAGAATAAACACCACTCCATGGCTTGCAAACTATTTAAAAGCAGATGAGGAAGGAGTGATCCCAAGCTTTTTACAAATGCTTAAAAATCCCAGCTCTCCTTTATTTCATAGTTGTTATATGTCTGTTTACAACATTAAGAAAAACTTTAATTTTTTATTTAACAGTACAGTTTTGATTTTAAAAAGAAAGAAAGCCACCTCATTTATGGTGGAATCATTTAAAATAATTTTGATATCTCACCCTTGCTCTCCTGAAGGGGGATTAAGGTAATGCAATTTTGAAGTTGTTTGCCTTATGCCCTCAAGCTGGTTGGTAGGGCGTGTGCCAGAACAAATGATGTCTCTGTGTAGAAATGTACATCTACACTTTTTAGTATGTACTTTTCTTTCTCCCTTCCAACCCCATTCCCACTAGGAATAGCCCAGATTCTTTAAATGACAAGAGACTGCCCACAGCTTGACACTTTTATGTTAGACTAACAGTCACATTACTTTTTCATCTTTAAAAGGTACTATTCTTGATCAGCGCCAACACACATATTATCGAGTGCCTTTCAAAGCTGGCATTTAAATATTGCTAATGGAATTTCTTTGTAATAAGTCCCAGAGAGTTTAACTCTGTATCACACAGCAAAGCCATCTCTGCATCTCCCTTTGACTCAGACAGCAACATAATATTCGGAGCTCAGTCTGTTTCACTTTTTGGAAACCTGATGAAACCAAAAAGTGACTTTAAAAAAAGAAAGAAAGAAAGATCTTGATGCGAGGTGCAACAAAGGAGGCTCCTGAAGTGAAGTCATCCTGACTGCAGCATTCTAAGGGAACAGAAGAAGACCCCAGTGGGTCAGCCCAGTGGTCAATATAGTCCAGCATTCTGTTCTCACAGTGGTCAACTTATGGGAAGCCCAAAAGCAGGACCTGAATGCAACAACATCCGACAATGAAAAGCTCCTAAGGAGGGGATGGCGAACCTGTTGCCTTCCTAACATTGTTGGACTACAGCTCCCATCCTCCCTGACCATTGGCCATGCTGGCTGGAGCTGATAGGAGGTAGAGTTCAACAATATCTGGGGGCAGAGTTTTCCCCCATCATAACATGGTAGTCAAAGGAGCAGCTCAGCACTGTTTTAGTTTAATCCCTGGATTTAAGTGTTGATTGTTCCATCTCAAACTCGCATGTTTGAGAGCTTACCCAATGCTTTTTCCATGTAACCTGCCTAGGCCCTCCACTCAGCAGCTGAAGACCCTGCTGCCAGTCCCTCCAAAGTACTTTTAGGATAACCTCTTGGTGCCTTTCCCAGAAAATCACACCTGATCCATACCTGAAGCTCTGAAATTGTTCACAGCCCTATTCTAAGCTGTTTCTCTCTTGCTTGGGTGAGTTGTTGCTTCCATTTTTAATTGTTCACACGGTGACATTAATTCTGCAAATGTTAGCCACCTTGTGGGTTTTTTGAGGGGGAAGCATGGCATTAATATCTTAATATTGATATTGTTTGCTGAGGTATTATTTGAACAATTCCTGGTTACTGTAATTGTTTCTTAATTGTATATTAAATTGTTATTTTCCACCAAATTGTTTTATTTTACATCAACTTGGTATTATTTTAATGAGAGGCAGTCTAGAAAAGTTTTAAGTAAATAATATTTTTATGGTTTTATTTTTATATGTTATGCGAGCTATTATTTTATGTTCTGTACAATGTGTTGGAATGTGTCCAGAAGATGAAGGGCAGATTAGAGATATTTATTATTATAAAAACTCCCCTTAACAACAACTTCCTGCCATTAGCAGCTTGGGGTTCCTGTCTGTCAAATCTGATGAGCATAAGGATAGCTGTAATAAAGGTGTGCTGAAAGAAAGAAAGAAAGAAAGAAAGAAAGAAAGAAAGAAAGAAAGAAAGAAAGAAAGATGTATATGAACTCAGGTAAAGGTCAGCAGGCATGATCCTGCTCCATCAACTCTATAGATTCAGTAAATATATTTAGAAAGTTGTGAAGAGGGTTCATGTTTTACTCCAACCTAATCCAAACGAATTTCAAATGGACATGTTTCCAAGTAAGGATGCTCAGCATTTTAACCCTGGTAACTATTTATAGAAATACACATATTTCCACATAGATCTATCATTAAAACCTGGGAAGTATCCCAGGATTCTGAAAATTTAATGTTTGGGTAACGTAGGGCTGCCATACATCCGGATTTTCTCAGACATTAGTGGGATTTTAGAGGTAGAATTGACATCCGGGGAGAATTTCCGAAAGGTGGCACTTTGTCCTGGATCTTAGGCAAGTCAATCAAAAAATCATTTTTAAAAGCTGGTTTATACTTTTTGAAATATGGCAACCCTAGGTAACAAAACTCCAGTTCCTCAGGGTCTTGACCTAAAATCCCTGGATGCTGGCAGGGAATTTCAAAAATCAAAACTTGTATGAACAAGGCTTACAGTAAAAATATTTTATTTTGAAGTTACTCCACTCTTAAGCTTACTATATTATTTCAGTAAAGTTTTTTTTTTCTATTCAAGTTCTTATTCTTTTAAAAATTATAGACTTGAAATCATTCTGTAATCATCATACACAGTGTTGGATTTTTCCTTTTCAATTTTCTCATTTGTTTCCTCCACAAACAAACAACTCCTTTCTCCTCCCACTTCAATATACTATCTCCCACACGTATCTCTGTATAGTACAAGGTTGATTTGTTAGCTTTAGAGTTTTCCAGTGCTTTTAATTAACACCTATGGTCCATATTGATAATTAAGGGTAAGCCCTTCCTTTAAATCTAAACTGTAAAGTACTGTATCTGATCAACTGTAATGCCTGGGTGATGCTGCTACAACAATCCCCATTCCTTCGTGAAAATAGATACATCTCACTGGTTTCAATATTGTCCACCATCCATCCTAGGGGATTCTGCAGGCATGCTTTTAAAAGATAACATGGCCCAATAAAACACACGGTCTATAATCCTCCAAGAAGTTCTTTATCAACTCAGAGTCCTGGATAACGGAACAGGTCAACCTCTGCAGTAGTCCAGGACAAAGTAATTTGAAGAGCCAGAGGACACACTTCACTTGGTTTCCCAAAAGCTCTTTCATGTTTGTATCAGTTTTGTGAGGTTGTCTCAGTCTGGTGCTCTGGTACCATTGACCGCCAACTGCAGGACTTATTTCACTCACTGTGAACCTAGAGACTCACATTTCCCAAGTATCTCCTTCAAGTCCTCCTTTCGCTTCAGACTGTAGCCCCAACACAGAGAAAGATGGTTGCTTTTTAATTCAACTAACTTTTAAAAACTATTTCTATCCCACTTAATCCTACCCCCTTAATCAAACAAAGATTTCCATGGGATCTAAACATACCTGTTTCTATCTTGACAGATACTGTAGAACACTGGTCTTCAGCTGGTGGGTTAGGGCTGATCCAAGGTGGTTCACAACAGGACCACTACCACCATGGAAATATATGGTCAAAGGTTAAGAAATGCATCCCCAAATGCAGCTGGGCCCTGGGTTTGAAAAAGTTGAAGATACCTGCTGTAGAAAAGAGGTTTTTGACTCTTCCTCAGAAGCTTATCAGGGACTTCTTGATGAGAAGATAATGAATGATGAACAGCCTTTGTTGAAAGGTAGCTGAAAATCACAGCGACTACCAAACTTTCCCTAGAAAGTGTACAGCCACAGGGAGTTGTTATGTTGGCTGTGCGTTTTAAATTATAATCTCAATTCACATAAGGCTATAGTGAAGTCTAGATGGCCCAACTAGTGCTCTGCTAGAATTGAAATTACACCTTACTTTTCTCCCCCGAATGGGCAGTTGCAGACATGCAAGGCAAAATCCTTTCCTACCCGGAAAGTGGGAAATTTGAAAACCACTTAGAATCAGAGAATCATAGATTTGTATAATTGTAAGGGACCATGAGGGTCATCTAGTCCAAACGCCTGCACTGCAGGAATCTCAGCTAAAGCATCCTGGCAGATGGTCATGCAACCTCTGCTTAAAAACCTCCCAGGAATGAATGTACACCACCTTCCAGGGGAGTCTGTTCCACTGTCAAACAGCTCTTACCATCAAAAAGTTCTTTCTGATGTTATTTGGAATCTCCTTTCTTGTAACTTGAATCCATTGGTGCAGGTCCTAGCCTCCAGAGCAGAAGAAAACAAGCTTGCTCCATCCATGTGACAGCCCTTTAGATATTTGAAGATGCCTATCATATCACCTCTCAGTCTCCTCTTTTCCAGGCTAAACCTACCCAACTCCCTCAACCATTCCTCATAAGGCTTGGTTTCCAGACACTTGATCATCTTGGTTGCCCTCGACTGCACATGTTCCAGCTTGTCAATACCCTTCTAAAATTGTAGCACCCAAAACTGGACACAGTACTCCAGGAGGGCAAAGCCTCCAATATTTCCCCGATGAAAATCGGGGCATCCCATTCCATAATTATAATTTTACTATTTATACCCCACACATCTTACTGAGCTGCCCCAGCCACTCTGGGCAGCTTCCAACATATATAAAAACATAATAAAACATTAAACTTTTTTTTAAAAAAAACCTTCCTTTTACAGATTAAAAAAATTGTCCAGTAGCACCTTAGAGACCAACTAAGAAGTGTATCAGAAGAAGTATGCATGCACACGAAAGCTTATACCCAGAACAAACTTAGTTGGTCTCTAAGGTGCTACTGGACAATTTTTAAATTTCATTTATTTATTTCGACTGTGTCAGACCAACAGACCAACCTATGTGAATCTTCCCTTTACAGGATTGCCTTCAGACGGCTTGGGGGTCGGATAACTCCATACCCACCAACATTTCTCCAACAAAAATAGGGACTTCCTAAGGAAACACGGGACATTCCAGGATCAAATAAGAAACCGGGATGGCTTCTCTAATCTGGGGCATCCCTGGAAAATAGGGTCTGGGTCGGGTCTGACCAAGGCAGAACAAAACAATACTTCAAACAGTGGCTCGTAAACAGTCTGTCTGTTTCATGTTGCAGTGGAGGGCAAAGTTTTTATCTCAGCCTGCACCTCTGGATTCTGAAATGAGGGGAAAGGTGAGTAAGTGATGCTTAGGTCTTGGACAATTCCACCATGGACCATAGTTGTGATGTGTGAGGAAAGTATGAAGCCTGCTACTTTTAGTAGCTCTGTGCCCCTGAGCACCCCCTGAAATGACCCCAGGAGCACATCAGCTGCCGGAAAACAAAGGTTAGCTGTTTCTGAACAGTAAAGATAAATGGTATGGCGAACACCATGACCTGTCATTTAGATAACTAAATTTTAATTGTGAGTAAAGGGGGGATTTTTATATGCCTGTTGTTTTTGTCCATGGAGTTTTCTTGGCAGGGATACTGGAGTAGCTTGCTGGTTCCTGCTCCAGGTGGATCATGTTTAGTCCAAACTCTCCACTATGACCTGTCCGTCTTGGGTGGCCCTGCACGGCATAGCTCATAGCTTCTCTGAGTTGTTCAAGCCCCTTCACCACGACAAGGCAGTGATCCATGAAGGGGGATTTAAGAAACAAATTAGCAAGCAGTAAAGGTTTTTTTGAGGGAGGAGTTGGGAAGTTTATAAGAGGATCGTGGTTTGTTTGTTGTCTTCACGAAAATCCCTATTAGATTCATCTATTTCAGACAAGCGGTTTTTCTTATATCTTTTTTGTTCTGTAAGCTCACACACATAGAGAAATGAAAATGTTGCTTTTGGATTTCATTCTTACTCTTTGCAGTTTTGCTGGTTGTTAGCTTTTCTGTGCTGAGTTATCCACATTTTGTACAGCTCTGATTAATCTTTCTTATTTGTTTGGGAAGATTTTTCTTCTCCTTATCAGAACTGTTCCTAGTGATTTTTATACAAAGCATGGTTTTCCTGAGCTTTGCCTATAAATAGCTTTGAATAATTTAATTTTTACACATTACTTTTATTTTATTCTTCCTTACTGGATTTACCTGGTGAGTTTCAGACTTCACTCTTCTGTTATTGAATATTTTTGTTTAATTTTTACTTGAAAGTAATTTTCTGTTTGGATGTTCCTAGATATGATATCCTGGATATCTAACACCTGATAACACCTGATATCATGCATCTAAGACCAAAGAAGCCTATTCCCTAGAATTCTGTATTGGTAGCTATTATTCTCTTAAACTAAAATGCTTTGCAGTTAGGAGTGCTCTGATTATAGTAAAATTTAACTAGATAGCTGGTGGAGTTTAGGTGGGCCAATACAGGACTCTGCAATGGCTAAAATGTAGTTCATTTTAAAATTGCATATTGTAAACATTGCATATAATAACTACTTTACCTAATGTTTTAATATAGTTTATTTCACACTTTACTTTCCCACATAAGCTTTGCATCCTAATATTTCCCTTGCATACACTGTTCCTTATATTTCCCCTTCCCCAGCATCCAACTTAAAAGTGCTTTAATGTTTCTTTGATATCGTTTACATCTTTCAGAAACTGCTCATCTGCTGATGCACTGCAACTATATTCTCCAAACTGATTTCAGCCTCTGGTCATTTCTTGTCACCACTACCCCTCTCACCCAATGGGCAAATTAAGGGTCACTTTCACACGCAAAAAAAGAAAGCAAAAGAGGGGCACATATCATACACAAGAATGTCTTTTGGGGGCTCATCTGTACCATCCATTTAAAGCAATCATATACCACTTTAACAGTTGTGGCTTCCCCAAAAGAATCCTGGGAACTTTGATATATAAAGGATCTCTTAACAACTCTTGGCACCCTAACAAACTACAGTTCCCAGAATTCTCTGTGGAAGACATGACTGTTACAAGTAGTGTGGATGTGGCTATCAGTAGTGTTAAGTTGTGGGTGAACATATCAGATGACACAGCGATTCTTCAAACAGCTCTTGTTTATTCACAGACCAGATCAGAAACTGAACTGAAGGGTTCAGTCAGCCTGCTTATATAGAGCTCCAGTACAATGTAACTGTAACAATTTTCTAAAACTATCCAATCACTGAATGTCACTTTCGATCCCTTATTTGCATAACTATCTACAGTATCCCCCTGCTGGCCCAGGGTGAGAACTTCAGTACATAACAAGTAGTGCGTTAGAACAACAAACCAGCTAAAGCAGGTACCAATTTCAGACAGACAAGTGAACAGGTTTTAGTCTTTCTTTCAAAGTATGTGGAGTTTCAGCTGAAGAACCGCAATTCCTTGAGAATAATTAGGCTTTGTTTTCACTCTCCCTTTGACTTGTAGGCTTCTAGAGTCTCCAAGTTGCCAATTCCCAGGCACTATTATTCACTGCATTGCTTGAGGGTGGGGGTTTGAATTCCAACTGCAGGAGCAAATTATGTTTGGGAGGAAATTACAGTAAATAGGTGTGAAAGTACAGTAGCTATAGAAGTGAAAGAATGTGAGTGAGTCACACAGAGTAACCATCTCATTAGATCCTGCGTTTTTTTGATGAAGTTGTTCATTGGGGAGCTGAATATGTGGGGGCGCACTAAGAGCCTGAATTATAGCCAGCCCCCGAAGAAGAGGGGGGGCTATGCAGACAAATAAAGGGACTTTGTTAAAAGACACAGAATCAGGAGGCAGGGAAACTTTCAAAAGCCACTTGCAAAGAGGGCATGCTCTGGAGTTAAAAGCAGTTAAAAGGTGGGGGGGAAATCCCACCATTAGAATCACACAAATTGCTCTCTATCAAAACCTGACAGAACAGCAAATTTTGATGACAAAAACCATTTCTGTGATCCAGACCCCCCATAATTTATTTCCATTTCCATTTAGGTTTTACTATAAAGAAAAAAGTAAACTAAAACACTCAAAGGGCACTTACATAATAGGATGTTGGAAGCTGCTTAGATGGTCACCGAAAGGTTATTGGAGTTTCATTGGCTCAGACACACAGAGGCTTCAGTGTTGATGTGTCCTTCTGGCTCACCCCTCCACCATCTATTGGCATAATTTAAAGGAGTCACCTTAGGCCCAGCAAAGGCTCTTTAAGCCATGGCTCTTGAATATATGCATTTCAGAAAAAAACTAGACCAGCACTTCCAGGTTAGAACTAACCAGCCTGGTAACATCAGAAGCTGCAATACACTGAATGTTTAAAATATAAGATGTGGGTGCAGCCCCACTGAGTTTAATAGCATACTCCCAAATAAGTGTGCCATAGATTGTAGCTAAAGGCTGCATCCAGGTGGAACCTTCTTGTTCAGAGAGTTCCACCCACAGATGATTAGAAGAAAATGCAAGGCCCATCACTCACCCCTGAGACTGGGAACGTTTCCCTTCCAACATCCTTGAAAACCAACGTCTCTGAGTTTGTGGAATCCTGTTTTTCTCACCATGACAGTCTGAAGTTATTAGGCTTATCACAAAGAGCTCATACCTTAGAAACAAGACACTATCCTTCTCAGCAAGAGCTGGTCATCTTCAGGGAAGAAGAGCCAAGATCACTAACCTCTCTGTGACAGAACTGAGGGTACCAGAAGGCTTCGAGACCACTGTTAGGGTAGCACTCAGGTCTGGGTTCTTGTCTGTGACTACTTCTGAGTTTTTCTCAGATTCTGGCATCTAGTTGTCATCTCAGATTCCTCACTTGCATCATGTGCTCATCCCCATCTCCCCTTCCTGAACTTACCTGTCGCTAAGCCCAACCCTCAAAACTGTGGTTCTCTCTTTACTTTTGGATGGGTAAGAGAAAAGTTGACAGAAGAAACACATACAAGGATTAAGACCCCATGGCCCTCCCAATGTTATTGGACATCAATTCCCACCAGCCCCAGCTAGTGTGGCAAGCATTCAGAGATGATGAGATCTGTACTCCAGCAACATCTGAAGGGCCACAGGTTCTCCACCCTTGACATAAACACCCAATATCTTAGTAGAACATTGTCAAACATGCCTCTGCTCAGATTCAAAGCCAACAGGTACGACTTCCTAATGTTCTTGATTTATGTGTAGATCACCGCTAATCTGTCTCTTGGTGAGAGTAAGACTACATTCAATTCACAAAAAACCTTTTAATATGCTGCATTAAGGGCCTTCCATGTTCACTCAAGTTCCAAAATGATGGGAAGTTGCAGGTGTTAAGGGCCACCTCATGAAAAGATGCATTATTTAGGTGATATGGAGAAGATATGGTATAGTATCCTATTCTGCGGTTAGTTCAAGCTTCACTACTAACCTGGAGTTGGATAGCTGTCAGTGGCAGAGTGGTGGGCCTAAATTACCAGCGCTCTCACTTTTATCAATCACTCACTCCCACATACACAGCCATCACACATTTATTGCATTAAAAAAAATATTACTACACATCCTTTCATCAACATTCTTTCACATAACAGCCAATAATAACCTAATGCACTGGCCATAATAACAATCATAATAGCAGCCAGCAGCCAGTAATGATCAAACATCTCAGCATCATCACTAATCCCCCTCCCTCCCACTGAACTAACAGGTCCTCTCTCCCCACCCCCCAATCTCTCACCCAGGGAGGAGGGTGGGTTTTTTTGTTTTCCAGTGTGGGCTCTCAACCTAGGAGGATATACAACTACTTCCGGTCCATCTAGTTCAGGCACTTGCTCATGGTTATCAGCTGCCTTATTTGGCTGAGCTAGCTAGACCATTGGTCTGACCTCATGTAAGGGATCATGTAAGCTTCTTACATTTCTAGACCTCACATCTGTCAGAAGGCGG